TTCTACAGAGAAGTATACTACGAACACATACGTAGTTTCAAGTCAATTTGGAGTCCTCCGTAGATGGTGGGACTTTTTCACATGCTTTAAGTATCTTGCTGGATTGAATCCCAAATGATTAATGCCTATTTTCCAGGCCTGCTTAGTTCTGTATTGTTTCTAGGCTTTGCTGTGCTGCCCTGCAGTGAAATTCAATACGCGGTTTAGTTTCAGAAAGGTGATAAAAGCGTTGTTTTGATTTTTAGTTAATTAAACTAGGGTTTTGTTTTCCTTTCACCTTTCTTGCCCTCATCTCCTCCTTCTTTGACAGCTTCATTGCCATGAGAACATAAACACCATGTTTGATGACTAAGCTTCTAGTGTATCAAACACTCAAGTACCAGTGTTGGTCTTTTAACTGGAAGGAATACTGGGCTTGTCTTTTCTACAGTAACTAAGAAATTAAGTTCTGTATTTTTTGAATTAGTGTCAGGCCCTCATGTCCATATTTCTTTCTAGGAACTATGAGAATTACTTTATCAAGGCACAGAAAGTCAGACGTCTCATTGCCAATGACTTCGTGAAGGTTTTTGGGAGCGGTGTTGATATTTTACTCACTCCTACCACTCTGAGTGATGCACTACCGTATATGGAATTCATCAAAGAAGACAACAGAACCCGTAGCGCGCAAGATGACGTCCTAACACAGGCTGCAAACATGGCTGGTGAGCAGGGACAGGAATTCAGCTATGTTTTCCCCTGTCTAGTGATTTTTTTAATGTCCATTCCCTTCAGCTATTTAACCTCTTCTTTAGAATCAAGATATTTCACCTCTGTCTTTTAACTCTTACAATGATAACCAGGTGTAAGGGTAGCTTATTTATGAAATGCTTTAAAATGTAAGACTAGATTTTAAAATGGGTGGGAGCTGCGGATAAGATGAATCCATTCAAGTTCCAGAGGCCGAAATATCTTTCTAGGAGAGCTGATTCTCTTTTCAGAGGATGCTGACTCCTTAAATCACTCTAATTCATTTATTGTAATCACCTAGCAGTATCCTTAGTTCATTGACTGAAATTATTTTAACTAGAATCATAGAATACCAGGTTGGAAGGGACCTCAAGGATTATCTGGTCCAACCTTTCTTGGAGAAAAAAAAAAAGTCTTTTTCCTCTACATGAAAACAATTCTAAGAGTTGGAATTGTTACAAAAATTACTCCCAACTGGATTTGTTTAACAGTAAGTCTGTGCGTGTGTCTCTTCTTCCTTTCAGGACTGCCAGCCATAAATGTTCCTACAGGTCTTTCAGAGAGAGGCTTGCCAGTTGGTCTTCAGTTCATTGGACGGTCATTCCAGGAGAAGCAGCTTCTCACTGTAGCCAAATGGTTTGAAAAACAAGTAAAATTCCCAATGATCCAGCTAGAAGTGAAGAGGCACTATCACGGTGCCTTTCAGCATCAGAAATCTGCTTTTTTTTCATAACACGGGACTTGCTAGTCAGCTAAAGCAAGAAGGCTGTGTCTAAAAATGTATTCCTGCGGTTAATTCTCTTTTGCAGAAAAATAATAATCCATTTTAAAAGGAACCATATACAGTAATACGGAATGGAATCCTCTCGGCTTGTTACTATGTAACTAAGACAAAGTGAATCATTAAGTAAACATGTCTGTTATTAAGAACCATTTTTAGCTGATACATAATTTCAACCTGGTGTTTTTAGTATCTTATGCCTGTGGAGCTACTTTTTTCCATCCCCAGAGGGCGTGTAAGGTATCTGGCCCATTAAAGAACTAACCTGAACCTTGCTGTGAAAATTGCATCGTTGCCAAAGGGTTGGTTTCCTTCTGGAGCATAGACTTTTGTAATGGAACAACCAGGCAAGCTGTAATGGAACAAAGGTATCAAGGATCTGTTCATCAACAGGTAAATACAAAAGGAAATAATGTGCACCCTCAGCAAGTTTGCAGATGACACCAAGCTGAGTGGTGCAGTTGACATGCCAGAGGGACGGGATGACATCCAGAGGGACCTGGACAAGCTCGAGAAGTGGGCCTGTGTGAACCTCATGAGGTTTAACAAGGCCAAATGCAAGGTCCTGCACCTGGGTCGGGGCAACCCCCAGTATCAATCCAGGCTGGGGGATGAAGGGATTGAGAGCAGCCCTGCCAAGAAGGACTTGGGGGTACTGGTGGATGAAAAGCTGGACATGAGCCAGCAATGTGCGCT